GGTGGACGATAGCTGTAGCTGTAGAAAAGAGGTAAATTTTTAACCAGAGTGGCTGAAAAGCTGATGCCACTGTGCTATCAACACTGTTGGCCTCCAGGAGGGCCCGGGCACAGCTGTGGTTCAAGGGATGCCCACACCTTCGCAGGGAGCAAGCTTCACCCCTGCCCGAGCATACCTGGGTGAAGAAACCCTAAACAGGTCGCCGTGGTACCCGCTCACCCCCACCCTTTACTCCAGCTTTTCACCAGGAGACCCTGAAACACAGCAGCAACGACCTGGCAGCAAGACAGGCAGACTTACTCGCTACGTGCTCCTGGAAGCACAGATGCCACTGACCGTATGCCACCGACCGTGGGGGCATCAGCCAGGTGCATAATTAAACTCTGTGATGCTTTTCTCAGGTCCAGATCTTTGCTTTCCTAAACCCATTCCTTTTCTGTCCAAACAAGCAAAAAAGGCATCATTTGAACCATGAACAGCCAGAGCTTTTCTCCTCAAGCAAGGATTTAGAGACAGTATTGCTCTTGTTTATACAGAGATGCTTGGTGCCCAGGATTGCTTTTTGAGAGTTCAGAGCACGTGCATTACAGACCATTGGTCCTCGCATCCCTCGGTTTGTTCAAGGTGACTAGGCTAGCATTTGGGGGATTTTGTTTTGGCTTTGATTGTGCTTCAAGGCATCTCAAAGCAGATCAACATCACAGGGATGAAACACCATGTCCTCAGCTGCTAGGAACTTCCTACAGGGACTAAAATGGGAAGGAGAGAGCTCACCTGGCAGCTAGAAGACAATGCTGGTTCTCTTGTTGCTTGTAATTATGAGGAGGAGTGTGGTCCCACCAGAGCAGGACTTGGACCTGCACTAAGGGGACCTGTATCCAGGGGATGGCTGCTCGCCATGTGCCACGCTGATGGTGAATTATCTTTGCACTCCTGCAGAGCACCAATTTTACCTAGTTGCACCCAAACAGAGGCAAAGCCAGATGCCAAAATTTCATCTGTGCAGTGTGTTTCAAGCGACTGCATGCTTTGATGAAGCCAAAAGTGGATACACACCAAAACCAACAATGAAATACGTGGGAGAATGAACACAGGCTGAACTAAGCAGGGCAGCAGCACACAGCTTGCTGTGTCATCAGTCACAACTACAGGGCAAAGCTTTGAGAAGGACAAATGCCTTAAGTTTAAATGAGAGTCAGAAGAAGAAACATTGCTCTACGTGCAAAGAAAGGTCCTTATGCCACCCATCAAGTTCTCGGGATGACTCAGGGTCACCCATTCAGCAGCAAACTCATTTTTATTTGGTGCTGCAAGTTCCAGCTTGACCATAACAGCTGGAGCCCAGGACCAGGGAAGAGCCCCCTCCCCACCACCACTCCAGGCTGATACAAGGCAGACCCCCAGGCAGAATGAGCCCCATTCAGAGACCAGGACTTCTGGTCTGGCCCCAAAACGGCATGATGCATCAGGAAACACAGCGAGTGGCTTCATTCTGACATAAGCCTGAAAAACCTGTTCATGTGAAGCACATGGAAATAGCAGACAAGTTCAATTCATTTGCAGTTTCCCCAACCAGTACTGTATTTTAATCGGAACTGTTCTGGGGCAGCACTAAACATCTTCACTGATTTCAGACCAGCACTTTATCTTGGAAATGCTGCAGCAGCTTCTACAAGGAAAGTAACTCCGCGCCTAAGGAGAGGAAGAAATCAAGGCCCCCCTAGCTAGAGGTAGACTGAAGGAGAGGCAAGCTTAAACATTGCATTTATGTTTCTATGGAATAAAACATCCACGAGGGTTGAGCACGATACAATTCATTTTTGAACTGTGGGGCTTGTGTTGAGCACGCCCTCAGTTCAAGCATGAAATCTGAGGGTCATTAGTTAGCATGTTTAACTCTGTCTCATGTAAACATAACACTCTAGCCTCAGCCCAGCTTGTTTGCCTAGGTAAGATTAGAGTCTGTTATTTGCCAAATCACGTGAACTTCTCCCCATGTATCTGAAAGACAGGGGTATTGCAGGGTGTTTGCTTCTTATCACCTGGTTTTAGTGGAAAATTTAATGGGATCAAGTACACAATTTGAATTACTGAATGCTGGCGTGGTCAGATTTCTACACCCAGGACACTACCTTGGTACCAAACGAGTCCAGAATCGCACTTAAATGCCATTTCCTCCAGGTCTTCCTGCAGCAGCACTGCCAGCTGTAGCACGCAGCCATCGCTGCGTGGCAAGGTACGACTGACTACATGAGAACAGTCGACCTCTAGACCCAAAACAGCAAAAGCAGACAACCCCAGGTAGCTCGGCTGAGACCCTGACAGCACACGGCACAGCTTACCTTCACGCTTCTTGGTCAGGGCAGGGTAAGAGCACACACAGGTAACATGCACAGGTACTGCATTAGTACTAAGAGCAGCTATGAATAGCCTCCGCTCTCCATGACTTCATGCTCTGTAAGGTTAGGTAAGGGGTTAGGCATAGATAAGTCACTATAGATAGAAATACAGATTTTTTTGGGACTAAGCAAGTTGGAGCACCGCTTTGCCTTCCACATAGCAACATGCAGCTGTAGGAAGATGGAAAGCAAAGATGCTCTTCCTCACTCTGAGTTGATGTAGGCTTACAGTCCCATAGGGCATGCTCCGAGGTCAGCTACACGCACGAAACAAGCATCTCCAGGTTCACAGAACAGCCTCAACTGATGGACATGAGTCTCTTCAGACATTTGCATTAGCCTTGCACATCAGCACACCTCAGATCTGAAACACAAGCACTCGCCATTATCTGAAAGGCTGACCATCCCAACGCACTTTGGCAGTAAGAACAAAGCCAGTATGTTTGGAAAGCATTTTCAAACTTTATTTACAACTGTCACAGTGACAAAAATGTAGTTTGAAAAAAATGCTAGCTTCTCCCTGAGGCTCAAAAAAGAATTACAGAAATATAGAATGTATATCATACAACAGGAGGAGTTTTACTGGAGTGCTTTGTTCTTTAGATACGTTCAACAACAAATAGAAATATACACAATACTTCCAAAAAAAGGATGCAGACAGAAATATGCAAGTCTTTAGGGCAGACAGCAGGTCTGAAGTCCAAGGATTGCCATCTCATTGCTGCCCACGTGCTAAAATCTTTGATATACAGCTTTGACTTGGTGGTACAGACGGTAGAGACCAATAGAGAGTAACACTTAGAAATAAGACAACTGGCTGGTATGCAGGTGTACAAGCTCATTCCAGTAAGACAGCAAGACCAGAACAAGCGTTACAGATACAACAGCTGAATCCATTGCTACAGAAAATGGTATCACCACATCATGACTGTTCGGTGATCAACCGTCCACCAAGATGGGCAGGGAGCATGTATAACCAGGTCCGCGTTGCTGGACCAGAGACCAGCCGCAGTGTAGGAACACTGAATTTCTCCTGCTTTGTGCTAACTCATCTCCAAACTCCTATCTGTCTGAAACAGTTATGCAGAGCTGATAAGTTATTGCCATTATGTTTAAACACAAGCAAGACAAGACGGTGATCAACCGTCCACCAAGATGGGCAGGGAGCATGTATAACCAGGTCCGCGTTGCTGGACCAGAGACCAGCCGCAGTGTAGGAACACTGAATTTCTCCTGCTTTGTGCTAACTCATCTCCAAACTCCTATCTGTCTGAAACAGTTATGCAGAGCTGATAAGTTATTGCCATTATGTTTAAACACAAGCAAGACAAGACTAAAACAATTACAAAAACAACCCTGCCAATATGTTAAAAGCAGTTCCCAACCCCCACCAGCATTCAACTACTCATGAGGTATTAAAAATACAAATACACACACATCCAACTAGATTTTAAAAATGGAACCAGTTATGAGCAAAGGGGGGTGGCATTGGGATTATTATGAAAGTTTGGTTAAGGCCTTGACATTTCTTTTTCTCTTCCGTGACCCAGATTTGGTTTAGGTGGTAACTGTTCTCATCCTATCCCAAGACCAACTGGCTCCCGAGTTGGTCCCCAAAGCCATGAGATCACCTCCTTGCAGGAAGGCAGCGGGTTACCCTGTCTGGCTGCAGACTGCGCTCCTCCCCCAGAGACAGATGACTTCTCCTTGAAGCAGGATATGGCAAAGAGGACACAACCACAGACTTCGCCAGCCAGCATTCATTAAACACCCACGATCGTTTCCCCCTTGCTATGAAGCAGAAACACGTCTTGTCTCAGGACACTCAGGCCAATCCTCTCCCAACAGACCCCTCCTGCAAACCCCCCTTTCCCACTGGTGATCCACACTAGATCTGGTGTTTCGTCTTTGGATTACTGTCCAGGTCTGGCAGCACTCCCCACCGTGCACATCCCTACCAGCCTGTCCTGCAGTGCAAAGCCGGAGGAGATCCCCCCACCCCAGCCCTCTCAAGCCCGTTGACCAGCAAGTTGGAGACCTGAAACCCTACAGCTCCAAGGACACCGAGGTAAGGAGGTGTAACCTCCACCCGCCGGCTTTGGGTGCTGTACAAGATGAGACCGACCACAGCCGCCTCAGCAAATAGGAGAGAAAAAAAAATTTGAGGTGTTCAAACCTACATGAGCTCTTGCTGCAGACAGAAGCATCTTTACATCTGATGCACATTACTTCACGCTAACCACCTGCAAGATAAAACTAGGGCCTCGCAGTAGAGATGACAAGCAGCAGCCTAACATGATCCTGCAAATACAGCTGTTCAGCATTGAAGAGTATAAAGGCAAACAGAGGGGGAGAAAACAGCTTTGGGAAAAGTGGCTGGAAAACAGGCTCAACAGCAAGAGCAAGAAACCCAACTACTCCTACGGATGCTCACGTTACCCTAGGAGATGCCGAACCGGGGAGAGCTACAGACCCCTCGTCAGTAGAGCGTTTAGCCATGCTTCCCTACGGACACCCTGTCACCGCCCGACACACAAAATGGAAGCTGTAAGAAAGGCAAATCTGAGAGATTACAGCTCTGTTCTCAGGCTTTTAGCCATCTCCATCTTTCCTCCCCCTCCCCGAGCTCCCCCCTCCAGTGGTCCTTGCATGGTCACCCTCTGCCATGTGCTTGGAATTTCACTGCTGCCTCCGCCTCAGAAAAATACCGATAATGATCTCAAGAACAGCAAACATTTCTCTGCGTTACTTCCTTCCTTCCTCAGGAGGTCTGGTGACACCGAGGGCTTCAGTTCTCAATACAGAGAATACAAAAAAACTAAGATCTTGCAGGTGCAAAATTGAACTTGTCTTTTTTTTAAAAAGACTTTCAAAAGAAGTGTGGCTTTTCCTTCAGAAGGGTGCGGTCCCTTGCCTTTCCTCAGATGCCATTTATTGCTCCTTGTTGTCCTTCTTTGCATCTTCACAGTTTTCTTCCTCTTCTTCTTCTTCCTCCTCCTGCACAAGGAACTCTTCAGGCGGCCATCTCAGCTCACCACTCTCCACATCACCCTCCGTCGGCTCCACCACGATCGAGGGCAGGCGGTCCTTCAGCTTACAGTAACGGTCAAAGTCTGAGGGATCAGGGAAGATCTGAAAGAGCCAAGAAACAGGCTGTGAGAGGGGCTGCTTTCAAGCAGTCTTAGCCAAAACTCAACTCAAGACACTCAGGTCTTCAGGGCAGACTAGTCTGGACACAGAGTAAACCACTGAGCAATGGGAAGACTCCTGGACTTGTAAATAAGCTTCTTTAATCTCTGAATATTGGAAATGAGCACTGCCCAAGAGGTTTCCAATGCACAAGCTTGCTTGGATAGCACTCAGCAAATAGGCACCTGCCCTTTTGGATATTTATCCAGACACCTCACCCCCACCGCTTTTGCATTCATGCTCAGGAGTTTGCACACCAAGCTGTCTCGGTGGAAGAATCTGAGCTCTCATTTCCTGCTGCTGGCCAAGCTGCACCCGAGAACAGGTTGGTGCTCCAGGACCTGCTCCTAGCAGGGGAGACACATGGCAACCCAGCACTACAGCGGTCCCAACCCTTGCAGCGAGGGCCCGCATCTGGCATCACCCCATCGGACTGTATCGGGCTGAAAGAGAAGTTCAGCTGCATTTTAGATATCATTTTGGCAGTGTTCTGCATGCTGCAGCTACCATACATCAGCAGTGAAACTCAGCAGGAGGACACTCATTTTATGGAAGGGTTGGGGATCGGAGTGTATTTCTTTAGGCAGGAGGTACCCGTGGCATAGCCAGCAATTATGCACCACATTCCTCATGCAAGGAATATGAGGACCCCCTTACCTCCAGCCCCCCAAGGTGCACAGAGCAGTACCTTGCCCCTTCCCTCCCACATGGATGCTCAAGCTCAGGCACTGGAGCAGCCCCAGGGCCCGGACTTACTGCTGTGCCACGGGGATGCACACTTTGATCCCACTAGGAACAAAATAGGCAAAGACACAGGTACAGGAAAAACTGCCACTGCAGCGCAGTGTTGGCAGGAGCTTGGCATGACTAAATTGCAACGGGAACAGAAAAGGTTGCTGTTACTTGTAGGGTTGACCTTCTAGGGGAAGGGCTTCAAACCCCAGCTCATCCAGAAGAGAACTGCTGGGTGACAAGAACCAGTTGCCACATCAGATCCCCTGGTCAGTAACCAGAAGATTAAACAATTACCACCTGTTTATTTCAAACAATTTTATTGGAGTGCCCATTTCACATTACACTTAAACATCCCAAAGATGACAACAAAATGCATCTTCCCCTCAAGGCTGTAGATGGAGTGGGGAGTCAGGCACTGCCCTTTTCTTTGAACACCAGCTGCATTCAAGTGAGTCGTAAGAGCATCCTTGCAGGGAGCAGCACTGCCAGCCTCAGACAGGCACAATGCTCATGGCTGCCTCAGCTTGAAAGCAAGATCTGATCTGCTTTGGTCTTTGTGGTTCCAGTTACAAAAGCAGGTTCCCCATCAAGGAGCTCTGACCGTTAACCATGAAGCATCATTCTCCTCGTGCCACTCCTGCAGGCACCCACCACCTTGGGAAGCCCTGGCCCAAACCCCAAAGTGGAACAACATCCTATCAACTTGTTCTTCAGCCTAGCGACTATTAACTACACCATTACCTCCTTGTCAATATTCACTCTTCTACTGTTCGGCCACATTCCTCCCTCGCATCCAATTTGTGGCAACCAGGTTACCAACTGGTTAACCTGGGAAAGCCATCGAGTTGCTACTTAATGCAAAGTCAGGCAAGGTAACTGAAGCTAATGCACAACACAGGGGCTGTCTGCACACATCCATTTGGTCCTGAGGATGGTGGTGCAGAAGGTCCTACTACAGCACCCACCATCCATTGGTTTTTCAGGTGCACAAAAGCGAGCGAGGTCTTTGAACGCAGCCACGTTAACATGGGCGCTGCAGTACGAGCTCCTCGCTGTTAGTCACTCCCGGCACAAGCGAGACTGTTAACTGTTTCTTGGAGCTTTGTGGCTTTTGCTTGGCCAAACAAAGGCCGTTTCAGACACATCGTGCATTACTGGAAGTACAGTCAGTGGCTCTTAAGCATCAACTTGTTATCTCAACTCTGGATAGGAAAAAAATACCCTTGACATTACATGGTTTAGAAGGCTGCAATGGAAAAAGAAGTGTGGTTCAGGAGGTTACATAAGCTGATAATGTCATGAAAATAGCCTCCTGTGCAAGAAAAATAGCAGTATAATAATTAAACTAACCTCTGGCTGCTATCATTTTAAGCACATTAGGTCAAATTGGAGCAATTTCTTTGAAAATAGCCTGCCAGATTTTTTTCCCAGAAACTAAGTAGTAGTCATTTCCTTACAAACAAATATCCCAAAATGTGGTGTGCAGCTTTTTTAATAAAAAAACCTCACACAATCTTATCTCAAACAGCTGCAAGACAGGCCAAACCCAAGAAGGTCAGGATTTTTTCCACTAAGTCATGCTTTTTAACCGTTGAGGCAGCACGAAGTGAGATGTTGCAACTGCACTTTCAAGGGGCATGGACAGTCAATGGAAAAAACACAAGGCAGATTTCCTCACATGTGACGAGCAGGGCAACACCGCAGGCCAAGGACAGAGACCGAAGGAAAAAGGGCTTCAGATGAAGACTCTTTGCACATCTGGGGAAGCCGGGTGGAAAAGTTACCCCAATCACCTTCCCCACTCAAAAATAAGCTGCACTGCCAGACTCTATTAAAAAAAAGATGAAGTACCAGCTTTCTGCTGTCCCACACCAGTAGTGCCATGCTGCATCTGTTGGTCCCGTATGCCTAATCTGGTCCCACTCCAAATTTAGACAACAGGAAGAAAAAAACCACAAAACCCACTCTAAAACTTGCAGCAAGGTCCACACTGGGAATGCAGCGGCTCAGCTCTGACCTGGGAGCTCGGCAGCCTTTTGCCCAGCCGCCAGGACAGCTTGCCTAGCAAAGCCTGCCTACAAGCCTTTCTGCTCACATCACCCAGCTCAGGCATGTGGGAGGAAGACAACCACCAACTGGTTGTGAAGGCTACCTAAAAACCAATTTAGCAGCAATTCAAAGGTATCTTCCTCCCCCTCAATTGCATGATACAGCACGAGGGGCTGCAACCGCTTCTGCGGAGCCCCCACTCCTGGCCCACAGAGAGCCCCATCTGACACCATCAGAGCCCACAGAGGACAGCTATACTGCTTCTTACACGACTCAACACAGCTGCTTGCTCGCAACCAGACTGGTTTTCACAGGCCTCTCCAGATTATGTTTTGGGAACTGCTCTCCTCATGGACTGATCCAGATCACATGCAAACCAAACTTTTGCCCTGCAGCTGGAAAGGGCAGTGAAAAGCAGAACTGGAAATGATTTTGGAAAGATCACGTTTGCCTTGTGTTTCGGATGATCTAGCTCTACTATCCTTGAATGAAGTCTTGGCAACAAGAATGGAAAGTTTTCGTTGCCCTGGGGAGGCTCATACCCTCTCTCAGCATTCACAGGGATGGAGAAACACCAAAAGCAGGAGACATGTCAGACAATTAAGAGGATTAGCTCAGCTCTACCATAATTCAAGTGACACTTGCAAATTCAAGACAACTTCCACATGTGTACTCCATACCAACACCCATAGCTAAAATGCTTGTCTCCTCTCCCACAGTCCCCAAAACTATTTCCATTATATTACAGGGAGACTAAGGCATTGAGATCTTTCCAAATTAAGTTACTGGGTTTGGGGAAAGCTTTGCTTCATTGTGCTAAGACTATACAGGACTGAAAAGACTGTACAGAGAGGCATACCGCTTTAGGTACGGGATACACCCCCAACGTACACATATCACTCACCCTCCTGGTACCAAAAAGCTAAGTTCTGTCCTCTGCCTCTTCAGCAGTATCAAGCTGATATTCCAAACCCCCAATCAGCATTTAAGTTCTTAAAATAAAACTCTACTGCCATTGAGAAGCATGGCAAGCTCATTTCAGGAAATATTTAAATAATCTCTCAGTATCCTCTTTGGAGGAATTTTCCAGTTCTAAGAAACAGCGCTAACACATATATTTACTCACACAGTAGTCATGACTTGAAACCGAGCTCCATCTAGTATGCACACAGCAGCCAGTGACTCAGGTTTACGAACTATGACAGCAACTCCCCAGTCACGGACAGATTGCCCTGTCTTGGGGGACGGTGGCAGGGAAACTTCATACATCACAACAATTTTCCATCAGAGGAACAAGGCATCAAGCAGGGAGGAAAACACGCACTGAGATGTTCCAATTAGCTGCTGTCTTCAGTTTGCATTTCAGTGGAACACTTTTTTGCATAGCATAGCTGCAAACATGATTAGTTTTGGCTCTGTTTATCCCATATCCTGCTTCTGCCTTCATTTAAGGTCCCAGACTCTGGAATACACATTGACTCAGCCTACTAATCTTGTCCGGTAACCAGGCATCGGATGTGCTATGTGAAGAAGTTATCCTGAACTCGCTTGCTATCACCACCTTTTTGCAGCCCAGTCTCAAGACCTTCTGCAGTAGCAAGCGCCAGCTCTAATACAGGACTTCCCCTGCACAAATCAAGGCTGCAGAGTCACGAAGCACCTCACAAGCAAACAAGATAAATACAGAGGGAGCTCAGTTTGCCCCCTTTGCCATCGGCCCTTAGGTCCGTAACACGTTGGCCCCTCAGCTTAGTTGGGGGATGCAGTTCAAACCCCTCAGCACCAAGCTCCTTCAGAAGGTCTGGTGAAGGTGCTGGCGCAGAGGTGTTGCATCCACCAAAAATGATTTCCCCAACACGACAGATGACCCACGCTTTGGGCATTGACCCTGGATGAAGCATTAAGCCTATTTACCTAGATTCAGTCAGTCTGACATGATTCACAGCTAGCTGTGGCTGTAATTAACCTAGACAGATCCCAGCATGATGCGATCATGACTTAAAGAGCTCAAGCTCCCCGTGACAACTAAACCCCAGGTGATGGCATGAGGCAAGCTCAGCCTCCACAGGCTGATCTCCTAAAATGGAGCCTAAGGTCCCACAGGACCAGCAAGCCAGCCAGACAGCCGATCTGCAGCCAAGTAGCATGCTCAGCTCAGGACACAGCATTCGCTCAGAATAAACGCTTTGGGCATCAAAGTGTGTTCAGTCATGCTCAGACCCTGCTGCACTTCCAAGCAGCAAGGCAGGATTCAGGTCAAGGCACTGTTTTGACAGCAGCTCGGTGAAACGATTAATTCGGCCTTGGTTTCAGTAACACCGTTTGTGCTGCTGTGAGATAGCATCAGAGGACAAGCTGGCAGAGTGCTGATGAGGCTTTTCAGGGAATGGGTATATCTAGGGGCTGGAAAATAGCAAACAGTACATTAGCTCCGACTGGCAGTGAAAAAGGTCCAGCGTGCTGGAGATTTGCCAGGCAGGAAGCACATGAAGCCCTCCACAGGCACATCTGTTTGTCACAGGGGCATCTTGAGCCATCAGCTGCATTTCAACGAGTTTTTTGTTTAGTAAGTCCCATGGGAATTATGGGACATCTATTAAAGATCCAGAAATAGCTCTTCACTGCAGGCACAAGACCCAACATGACATCATCTCTCCAGCCACATCTTCTGTTTGGTCTGTGCCGCCCTGTTCCGAGACTCACACCCGCATTTCACCATTCACCTCTGCTCAGGCCCTTTAAATCTGTCAGCTGAACCATCTTAAGGGGGCTCAGGGAGCAGCTTTACATCGCAAACAGGGTAATAAAAGCTGCTTTACATAGAAAGGGTTTGAAATTAGCACATTAGCTTACAAGCATTTTGCGTATTAACTGGCAAAAGGCATTTCTATGCTCAGAAAGCCCATTTTGCAAGTGAAACCGTACAAATTACTAAGCCTATACAGGCAACTCTTATCACCGATGACTTCTGCAGAAGTCATTCAGTGAACTCCATGGGACAGAGGAATCAGATTACTGAAGTTTATACTCAGGGTATGAGTTTCTTTATTTCCTCAGTTTACTTCCAAGTAAAAGCAAAAATACTTTTAAACAGTACTGTTGTAGGACAAAGTCTGCCTGTAGCAGACACTGATGCGCTGTACAGTTCCAGCAAAGCTGCTGTATCATCTCCTCTGGTCCAGACAGTTTCATGTCCGCATATGGTAGCGGAAGCAGCCCCCGGGCTCACAGCTAGCATCCTACGGACCAGCTCCCAGGCAGTCCCTGATCTACACAGCCTGAAGAGGGACACTTAGAACCTCAGTTTTGAGGTCATGTCTGCAGTAGAATAAATCCAAGCTCTACTACTAGAATAAGAGAAACTTTTGAAACTAAAAGCTTGCCTCTGCCAGTTCTGGCTCCACTATTTTTTTGCATCTCGTAGCCAGCCAAGGGCTGTCACACTTACATCGTGACTGCTCGACTCCGCAGATGAGTGGAGGAAGATGTTGCAGCTTAGAACAACAAGTCTCAGTGTAGGAGCAGTCATGCTCCATTAGCCCTGTCTGGTTTTAAGTTATTGCACTACAGCCCTCAGACTAGCATACAATTTTCCATGCACCAAACTCTCTCCCATCAGCAAGACAAAGCACACAAAGTGCCAAAGTCTGAGGTAGAACAAAAAGTTCATGGTACAATTTGCATCAGATTTGTCCTTGGTGTTCTACACTCAAGTTCTCAACCATTTAAGGATGCTTTCAACTTACCTTTGTTTACACTGTGACATTCTCAGCCTAGCAGCCAGGGGAGGAAGGCTGGAGCCTGCTCCCCAATCCTCTTTACACTAACCTGATTTAGAGGCAGACCTCATACACAGCCCACACACCACCGGTGCCCCATCAGGAGCTCCCATTTCAACACCTCAGCCCTTGCTGCCATCAGTTTGGCTTACATCAAGGTGAAATACTGGCAGGCAAGTTCCCAGCTCTTGCAGGCATTTGAAAAAAAACCATCTGTGACTAGATCACTACAGAGAAGAGATCCAGGATGCAAAAGCTCTGCATAGATGTGAGTCTTCGACATTTATGACTCACATCTTCAGGTTCAGATGATCCACTCAAAACTGAACAGGCCTGTTCCCCAGTTGGCCCAAGCAGACTTATCAAGGTCATTAGCACTTGGGGGAAAAAAAAAATCTCGCTGAAGCAATCATTAGAACAAGCAGGGCACCTAGATTCTGCCTCTCACTGGAAAACTTGGATAGGTAAATAGAGACATTTGACCCGACAGGGTTAAGCCTTTTTATATGGTGACCCATAAAGATAACTGCACATCCCATGCAGGCTAGTTTGATTTCTTCAGGTTTAAAAACCACTCTCATTGCTGTACGCTCCCTCTATAGGAGAGGAAAGAGCGGCCATACACTTTCCACTAACTCAAGCACTGAAGCACAGCACAGCTATTTCTACACACAGGCAATAAACCAATCAACTTGCACTACCCAGATCCAGAATACAGATCAAAAAACCCAACGCATCCCCTTTTCCTCCCTGCAGCTTTGGCTTCTGCTAGGAGCCTCAGCCAGGGCCCAAAGTTCAGTTGATTTCATGCTTCAGTGCACTGTTGCTGCCTCGTAGCTCATTTTTTCAGACATAAATACGCAAGCATACAACAGCACAACTCATTTGAATGCACACTTAGAGCAACTGCCTCTGTGTGGGTTGTGTAACATCTGCAAAGGAAGAACCCTGCATCGCGATCTGCCGGTAAGAGTCACCCGATGCACAGACCAGATGCAAGTCATCTGCATGCGCTCAGCATCAGTGCTAAATCTCATCAACAAGTCTCCTCGAAGAGTATGAAAACAAGGATCTAGTAGGCTAAGATGCACAACTTGCCCTTTGATTAACTATAAGCTAGGAAATAAACGGGATATTGAGACTAAAGGATTAAGTTTCAAGCTAGTTTCTAAGACTACCTCTTCACCTCAGTCATTAATCTAGAGGTTAATGGCTAGTTACATTTGGCAGAACTTCCAGAATGAATGCAGCTCGTGCCTTCAGACATGGATAGCTCCAGTAACATTTCAATGCTTGTTTAGGCTGTCTCTGGCCTCACTCGCTCTTAGAGAAGACTGTTAACCCTCATAAAACAGGCCCATCAGTCAGGAAAACCAAGAAATAGATCCAAAAAATGTTAAGTGCCATTCAAACAACCCCCTCCTGCTCTAGGCAGATCATTTGTATGTCATGTTACAAACAGTCCTCTCAGCCCGGTGAGTGGTGTGAACCCTTCTTTAACCGACCTCCCCATCTCCCACTGAGCCCCCACGAATGCTGAATGAGCAGGGGCGCGACCACTTCAGAAACACCCAAGTCCTTTGCCAACCTGGTCTGATACCGAGTGATATTTTAGACAACCGGCTCCTGCCAAGCAGGCATTCCAGTCTGTTGACTAGTTCGCACTACAGCAAGACCTGCTATTAGGTCAGGCTATGGAAAGGTACATTAGACCGAGCTTACAGTCCAGCCCAGGCAATTCTATAGGGGATTACAGCCTAAGCAGACAGCAAAGCACTTACCTGATACGACAGGCCATCCTTGCGGGGGCTTAGCCCAATCTCATCCATTGCTGGGGTGTTCATCATCACTTCAGTCATTTCAGCTGATCTCAGATAATCAGGGCTGGAAACAAAAGACAGCATTCAAATGATCCGAGGGGCTCCAGGAGGGCTGAGCAAGATTTAAGCAGCATCGGGAAAGAAAAGCAAGCAGAAGAGGCTGTCGGCAGTTTGGTCCCTTCCTTTCTGCTCCCCCCTTGGAAGGGGGTAGAAAAAAGCTCAGCACCACCTAAACCGGCGCTGCATCCCCTGCCCCGGGAGCAACTCCCCGAGTTTCTCCCCAAGAGCCGAGCCCAGGAACACCCCGGGGGGGTGAACAGCAGCCGCTCGCTTCGAACTCCACCTCCTCCAGCTCTGCCCCCCAAGGGGGAAAGGAAAAAAACACTAAAGAAGTGCAAGCGCTGGGGTTTTTTGGGTTTTTTTTTCCCCTTCTTTTTTTTTAAGCTGGTGTGCTTTAGCTCCCGCTGACTTATTTTACAGCCTCGGGGACTTCCACACCAGCGGAGCGCACGGCGCCAGTTCCACCTCGGTTTTTACAGCCTTAATGGCATTTCCAGCTCGAGAAAGTGAATTCCCACCGTCCGCAGTTCCTCCGG